TTAGTTTTTTTTTTTTTTTTTTTTTTTTGAGTTTTTAAAGAAACAGAACCTTGAGGTTTTGGCTCCAAATCCGTACTGGGAAGCGTCAATCCGGTTCCTTTTCCACCGGCAACTTCGGCGGCAAGTCAAATGATAACATCAACGGAACACTTGAACACTTCTCCCCATTCCGGTTGGAAGACCCGAAGGACGGCATTGATAGCTTCCGAAAGGAAGGATGTACCTCCCCTCACCCCCTGCCCATCTCCGGAGGGCAAAGGAGGCAGCACTATGGACCTCTCCTTACAGGCTTTGGTTCAACCCGCTGAGCCAAACGGACGCCGATGAAGAAGTCCCTGAGCCAGTCATGTGTCATTTCCTTGCTCATGTGCATAACGTGAAATGGTGGGATGGCCACAAAGTCAAACAGTTGACTAATGTTTTGCATATTTTATTATTTTCCACTTCCCCCATCTTTGCAGAATCCAAAATTTCAGTTCTTATGGCGGGATGGCCATGGGAGTGCTAAAGGCAGAGGTTGGTGTCAGTGGAGCCTTCTTTACTATGGTAAGCGTGTGTGGTAAATTGTCACGACAACAACCCGTTTTCCACCCAGATAAGCAGATCCAAAGCTGAAACAGCGTTTCCTCAATAGCAAACAACATCAAGCACACAAAGATGAGCGGATCGAAAATTGAAACAGCTGTACCTCAATAGGAAACAACATGAAGCACACTAAAACCGTTTTAAGTTTTAACTGCCGTGAGTACCAGAAAAGAAAATACAATGGGACCCAGGCTTGGCAAAACTCGGTGCGCAGTGAAATACTGGTTCGGAAAATTCCAGCAGATGACGCTCCCCGCCAATAGATGGAGCACTGGTTTCCTATTAAAAAAAAAGAAAAAAAGATCGGAGGAACTGGTGGAAGGACTTGCTGGGGGGGGGGAGAACAGATCCTTAAACCGCAAGGACACGGCCCCAGTCTTGCAGAAAGTTTTTGTCGCCACAAGCAAAACTCGGAGGGGCCGTGCGGCGTGGGGCGCCGTTGGAAAAAAAATTGATGGCCTCCGAAGTGGTGCGGGTTTCGTGCTGACACCCGAGGGCCGATGTTTGGTGTAGTGGTGCTTTAAACCACCACCACCTCCGACCCTGTTTTTTTGGGAACCAGAATTTCACTGCGCACTGAGTTTTGCCGAGCCTGGGTCCCATTCTATTTTCTTTTCTGGTACTCACGGCAGTTACATCCAAAAAAAAGAACAAGGAAAAGAGGAGGAGGAAGAAGAAGAAGAAGAAGAAGAAGAAGAAGAAGAAGAACAAAAAGAAACTTCCATAGCGCCGTGATAGCCATCAGATACATTCTATGAGGTGCTAGTGAGGCTGTGCCCTCACTGAGGGTGTCTGTACGACAAAGAACAAGTGAAGAACAAAAAAAACAAGACATCCCTTATGCTGTGATCGCTGTCCGATACACGACGCTACAGTACTAGTGTCAGTGTGACATGAGTGAGGCAGTTAGTTGCCCCGCGTGGAATACGCCCTGCCTCCCTGGCAGGGAACTGAAAGCAAACAAAAAGAAGCCAAAAAAAAAAAAAAAAACAGCATTCATGTTGAACACATAGTGGCCAGATACATTCCTCAAAAGCATTGGTGTGACTTCCACCTCCGTGAGGGCCTTCCCCGACATCGCTGGATTCAAAGTTCTTAGTTTTTTTCTTAAGTATAATTTATTTGTGTTCAAGTGTGTCTGGAGCATCAAAATGGTGTGTGATGGAATGATAAATAGTTTGAACTTTGAATGCTAATCAATTGCAATCTGTGAATCAAAATTACTTAGTTCAATGGGAGAAATGGGTGTATCCCAAGTGATCGAAAGAAAGGCACTAGAAATGGGTGTATCCCAAGTGATCAAAAGAAAGGCACTAGAAAACAACACTCTTTTTTTCTCACCGTGGGCCCACGGGGTCCCAATCTTTCCTTCTTTTTTTCTTCTTACCTGCCGAGCCTCCTCGGGACCTCCAAAAAATGTGGTGTGACGTAGATTCCCATTTCCCCCAACACTGAGAAAGGTAGTGGTGGTTTAAGGCTCCGGCTCCATATCCATTCTGGGGAGCGTCAGTCCGGTTCCTATTCCACCGACAAGTCTGAATACAGAATATTAGAATATGACACACTCCAACACCTCTTTGAGTCGTCCCTCTCTATCTGCCCAGGGTGGATTGCCTGCTAAAACCCTAAACCCTTGGGGGGTGTACAGTCCTTACTTCGTTTTTCTTACGTTGGCTTTCTTTGGGGTACCCCTTTTGTTTCTTTTTGCAGCTTCCCTTTATGGTATGTGTGACACTGTGTGTGTGTGCGCGTGTGTTTGTGTGTCTGTGTGGCACTGTGTGTGTGTGTGTGCGACGCTGTGTGTGTGTGTGACACTGTGTGTGTGTGTGTGTGTGTGTGTGTGTGTGTGACACTCTGTGTGTGTGTGTGTGTGTGTGTGTGTGTGTGTGTGTGTGTGTGGGTGCGCGTATATGCGTGCACGGAAGGTAAGAGTTCAGCTGAAGTTGCTGGTAACCAAGTATGGTGTTCCATCCTCCGGATTTCCAACACCGTGAAATATATGACGTAGGAGGAACATGACCAAACAACAACAAAGTGAGATAATTCATGACTCACTGACCCAAGCATTGTCTGTGACAATGCATGCAGTTGCTGTGCATTGACAGAAATTTGTTGCTCAGGGTTGTTGTGCCTTATTCTTAAATTCCTTGGGTTGGCCAATGTATCATTGGGCCTAGCTCAGTTGGTGCACCATTGTGGTCATATCTTTCCCTTGGGACAGATTTCACTCTCTGCAATATGCATGTACAGCTTTGTGCCTTCTCCCTTTTTTTTTATTTAAAAATAGGTCCTTATGGACCTAGCTCCTTCCATTCTGGGGAGCGTCAGTCCGGTTCCTATTCCACCGGCAAGTCACAGCTGAAAACATTACAGAATAAACACACACGCTTCCTCCCGTTCGGCCGGAGGACCCCTGAACAGCATTGATTACTCCGCCCTTGGTGGAGGATTGACTGTCAGCTTGCCTTGAGTCTCTCTTCCCTCTCAGATCTGCCCTAACAGCTCTGCCAGAAATCCCTGTTAAACCTAGAAAGAGATCCTCCCTTGTGATCTACCCTCCTCTTTTTACCAATTCTTCACAAAAGCTGTGTTCCCCCCTGTTACCCAAAACCCCTTTCTCTGCCTTTTAAGTGTTATAAAACTCTAATCCCTAAACCCTGCTTCCTCTCCTGACACTTTAATTGATGTCCCTTGTCCCTTATTCTCTCTCTTCAATACTTAACATCCTTGGCTGTTCGTCTCTTCCCTGCTGCTCCCTCTCTTTTGCTCCAGCGTCATTTGTATCCCAGTCCTGTCCTTGCGAAGTTAGTCTTATTTTAAGTGGGTCTGAGGTTCCCTCCCTTTGCGGTTTCTTCTGCAGATCTCTCCTCCTTCCCGCAGTTTATGGTAGTCCAAGCTCCTGGTCCCCATTCTCGTCCTCATATGGCGGGTCCTGGAGATCGTCCTTAAACCAATGGAAGCGCAAGGCTTTCCCTTCCAATGAAGCCACCTTTC